AATCAATAAAATTTCAGGAAAATGAAAGGCAAAAGGCTACTACTATTGCCAACTGCTATTGCCAAAACTTTGTTGTTATTGTAGTTTTTTTCCAAAAAAATTGACGAATTCAATTAATTACAGTTTCTGAATGACTATTATGAGCTCCTTCAGGCTGAAGACCCACTTTAATGGAAGTTTCCAACTTTCAGTGTGCATTTTGACAAATATTTTGGCGATTTTTCTTCAACATCTGCTCAAGATCCGTATGATACCGAGTCCAGTAAAAGATAAACAAACCAAAACCACACAACAACAAATTCAGAGCCATCTCAAGACAGTAGATGTTTCCAGGTTTCTGGTAGTTTCAAACGAAGCAACAAAAGAGCTCAACTCTGTCGCTGTGAATAAACATAGTCAAAATACGTCACACTGTACAAATTAGTGAATGAAAAAACATCTTACGAAGCCCGTGCCAGTCCTGCCATCTTGGAAATATCTTAAAACAAATGGCACCGCAAGAACTTGACAAGGTCCTGAGTATTGAGTCCTACACCGAAGTCACAAAAAAACAGAGACAATAACGAGCTGGACTCGCGTAAAATCATACCATTGAACGGTATTTCAAAGGAAAAAAAACGTATTATCCACTGGGCATCGTGCACTCGAGGGAGTTTCACAACTCAAAAGAAATTGACCGCAGAATTACACCGGATATGCATCTTTAAATTCCGTCTCCAAAGACAATGAAAGTCTCAGCCTCAACCACAGAAGAAAGGAAGGCCTTCCATAATTGATTCAGGCGACGAGAATTGAACTTTTATCCTTGAAGTACACTATTTTCGTTCTGACTTAAGAACTGCTTGTTTCTTTGTCATGCTCGAATGAGTTTTTGTCACATGACATCGTTTTGCATACTAAATGAGACATAAAGACGTTTCCGGTTCCGCTTTTTTGAAACCGGCTACTGGAACAATACACCGAAAATCTAAATTTAAGGCAATAAAATTGTGCAATTTCAAAATGGATTTAATAAAGTGGCAATTGAACTTCGGGTCGTGCAATTTTGGTCTGAAATCATACTTGTGATTTCAAATCGAACGAGCGCACAGCGCGAGTCAATTTTGAAATCACGCGTATGATTTCAGACCAAATTGCACTCCACTCAGTTCAATTACCATTATAAATTATGTTATAAAATAATTATAAATTAAGAGTTGTGTTATTCTTAAACAAACAGTTTTGGAACTATTCCCTTTTCACATGGGTGTTGTAATAAACAAAAGGGTTGTGTTGTTCAATGCTGTGGTCGCTATTTTTCAAAACATTTAACCAGTTACTGACTGTGATAATCAGCTACTCCCTCCTTTCTCTAACTCAAAACACATCATTAATCTCGTTTCCTACGTTACAAGGTTAAGAGGTATGTACAAAAACATCAACAGGACAAGTCGTATGTAAACTGTTGTGTTATCACAACGATAAGACAGTAATTTATACACAGTATTGTGCAAAAGTAATGAGAGCGTAATTTGACGAGATTCATGCATTTCTGGGCTTTTCAATGGAAAATGGTGAAGTTTTGTTCACCTCAAAAGTTCAAAAAAAATTCAACGAATTTTCCTGCTGCCCATTATCTCAGATGACATGAATTTTTGAGCAGTAATTTGTGTCTACCAATAATTTGGCCTGATTTTTCGAGCAAAAATTTGCTCTTCTTGACTTTTCCTTCAAACTTCCTAGCAGAAACTTGCTCTGTTCCTTAAGTTTCCCGTCGATTCCCAGTAGTAAGATTAAGCCAGAGCAAAACAAGAACGTGTGCAATAAAAACCTTAATATCGTTGTGAGTGATAGTAATATCTCAAAGGCTTTTCTCACAAACTTACCTTGCTTATGTCCAGAGAAAGGTGATATCACTTTGTTTGTTTAAGTCCTAAAGCTTGCAAGCTAAAATGGTCTGTCTGCCAACCTGTTTTCATTAAACAAGAAATGCTACTCGCAGTGCAGCCACAAAGAACCCAGGCTCTGCATGACCTTGCGATATTACCGTTGAAGGTTCGAAGCTATTATTGAACTATTCAGGCCAGCCTCTTACAGTGGAGGTATGGTATAAGCTTAAATAAGAGCATCCCATTTCGGCTCAGTTCGCATAAGAATCCTTTGGCTCATGGCAGCCATGTCACCCCTTTAGCACTTGCCATCCAAATGTCTTTGCACTTTTCCTTCCCTAATTTGCATTTCTTTGCACTTCCAACATGCTCAAGCACGGTGGCATGTATTCATCTCTCAGAGATATCACACTAGAATCAAGAGGGGGCTGAAATTGCAGCAAGAGCGTATCCCACTGTACGGGCATAACTACCTGTGTGGGTTGCTAATAACTCAACTGACCCCTATTTCTGACATACTCCCACCCCCATAGTAGAGACCCAGCATCAGATAATATATAGATTTAGCCAAGCCTAAAAGTGGACCTCCGCAGTTATTTTTTGGAATGTAGTTACTAATGAAAATAATCCAACATGTATGTGAGGTAAATTGCGAA